AGGCAATAACTAAATTGTGAGATGATAATTCATATGTATAACTCTGTAAAGGCCTGCAATGCCCTGAGCTAACAAAACACACAGATTGGTGATTACTGTGTATAGTGCGCTTGCAAATACAGTTGAGTTATAAATAAGCAGCTACACACTCTAGTGGATACTCTCTTATCCCCACTAATTATAGTAATGAACCAAAGTGAGCTTAGTACAATCTGGATGTGACGTCCAGACTCTACTAATCAAGTGAGTGGAACGCTAAAGGTATACACTTACCCTAAAATAGGGTTAAATCTCAGATGTATATCAGTACATATAAAGGAAACAAGAAAATAAAACACAATATAGTGTAAATCCACAAGTGATGGTGTATTTTGGTGATAATTTAAATAGTCAAACTCACATTGGTTAGAGCCTCAAAGGGACAGGCTCAAATCACTTGCTCAAAAGAAAGAGAAAGGGAGACTTCCTAGTTAGTGTACTAATTCAACCCAAATGAAAAACGCAGTGGTTATGGTTGTGCTCACCTTTTCCTGAGCCAATGAAAACCTGGCTCTGGATGATAGACCTGGGTGCCTCTAGAGGGGGGCTCCTGCCCTTCTTTAGCAGCAAGAGTAAGTTGAAAGCTGGTGGGACTTGGTTTAAAACACTGTGTGGGCTTTTTCAATTGGTATCGTCGTTGTCTTCTTGCTGCTTTTTAAATATGTCGGTTTCTTCATCCAGTGGGCGGTCCTCCCATCCCGTCCTCCAATCCGGATTTCGCTTCTTGTGAGGTCAATTTCCTCATCTTCCTTTCATCAGGGTGATCAGGATCGACACGGTACCGCCGTCCGCGTCACTTCCGCTCCCACCACAGCCATCTTTCTCGTGGGCACATACCCTCAAGTAAAAAACGGAAATGACGTGGCGGAACAGGTCCGTTCTCCGACCCTTACCAGCCTAGGTTAAATACATACATATTTCACCTTTTTTCTTGCAAGAATGATTGTGCTCAGCACATAGTAGAAAATAAAAAAGGAGGATAAAAAGAAAAATACACATAGGTACATATTAGTATCTTCCCATACAGTTTCATAATTATTCTTAACAATGTCCATAATGAATACATATACTACAGAATAAATTTCTTCCCTACTCATTATATATTGATCTTGTTGATCATTGTTAATTAAAAATTAAAATATGGTCAATAAAAATTGATAAAATTTGTTTTTGTTACAATTTCTGTAAATTTTATTTATTTATTTATTTATTTATAAAATATTTTACCAGGAAAGATACATTGAGATTTCTCTCGTTTTCAAGTATGTCCTGGGTCCACAAATCATTGCATTGTTACATTAGGTACAACAAAATACAAAAACAATATTAATACACAATATATACAAAATTTAACATAGAACAGGCAGGAAATATATAATCAACCATGACACGTGCATTCTGTTTTATAAGGAATTAATATAAGATTGATATAAAATAAATTTCTTACATTACTTAAATTGTTAACATTCTTAATAACATTAATACTTAATGTGCAGAAAGTGCGTATATTTCATGATCAATATTCATTTCCAGTTTTTATACTAGAGATAAAATAACTCCCCTAAGTGTGTAATTAGTTTCCAGTAGTTATAATTAAAAAAGTTTAAAAGAGTAAAAGGAATAGTTTCTTAAAGGGACAGATAGAGAGAATTTCTTAGATAAAATGGCATACCTCAAAATCATTTTTGAGACCACCTGGGATTAATGTGTTTAAATTCAAAATCCATTTCATCTCTATCTGCCCCATTTTTTTGATGAGATCATTCCCTCTCCAGTTTGTTTTGACCAGCTGGATACCAATAAAGTTTAATTTTGTTGGGTCCTGATTATGTTGTTGTTTAAAGTGCATAGACAAACTGTATTTTTCAAAGCCATTTTTAATATTCCTTATATGCTCCTGAATACGAACTTGGAGAGGTCTTGCTGTCCTTCCTATATATCCTAGCCAACAGGTACATACTATCAGGTATATGACTCTTTTTGAGTAACATGTAAGCAATTCCCTAATATTATATGTCTCTTTTGTTTTTTGAGGATTATGGAATTTTTTAACTACTCTCTTTTTATTTCCAGTATTTTTGCAGGCCCTACACATGCCGCATCCGTAGAAGTCTGCAGATTCATTAAACATACTTTATGTAGATTTGTTTTGTTTAATATGATTACAAACTAAATTATCTTTCAAGTTCTCTACCCTATAGACGATCCTAAGGTGATCAGACAAAATTGTATTCAAAAAGGGGTCCTCTTTTAAAATTGGCCAGTACTTATTCATAATTTTCTTTAAAAATTTGGCTTTTAGAGTTAAAGTCACATATAAAGGATACCTGCGTATTATCTCCAAGCTTAATAGGTTGTTTGTACTGAAGCAGGCTTAGTCTATATTTTTCCTATACTTCTTCAAGGGATTTTCTCAAAAGGTTTTCCTGATACCCCTTATCCTTAAAAAATTTTTAAATTATTTAGAACATACTGATTTCTGTACAATTACATTTCATTGGCAATAGTTGAGCCTTTGGTGCATTTAGCAACCACGGTGAAAAGTGACAGCTTTTTCTTTCTATATACCTATTGACATCGACCTTTTTGAAATTAGTCTTTGATTTAATTTGCCCATTTTCAATATATATATTCAAGTCTCTATATAGTTCCAGAAAATATTTAGTAGCAGCACACCCTTTTCATGCGTAATAATTGTATACAAGGAGCTCACATCAGCCGTCACTAGATAGTAATTCTCCTCCCAATTTTGGTCTTTTAAAATTTGTAAAACATTTAACGTATCCTTTAAATGGCTTGGGCTCCTTTGTACTGCTGGTTGTAAACATTTGTCAATGTATTGTGACAAATGTCTAGAAATTTACCCAATTCCAGAAATAATTGGTCGACCTGGAGGATTTTCCCTGTTTTTATGTATCTTTAGGAATTGATAAAATACTGGAATTCTAGGGTGTGGAATGTTAAGAAATTTGAACTCTTTTTCATTTAAAATGCTTAGGGGCTTTCCCTTATCTTTTTATTTTGTATATGTGACTTTAAAATCTTTAGTTGGATCTTTGTTTAATTTCCTATAATACAATAAAAACACCCTTAACAATCACAAGTGGAAAGACATAAAGTGAGGAGGTAAAACACAAAACACTTTACCTATACAAATTTATACTTCACTCTGTAGAATTTGACAAAAAAAAAATGCATAAAATATAGGTTCTACAGTAGGAAGAAAAAAACCAAACATCATAGTGTACTATCATAAGTGAATACTAATAGTGGTATTCAAAGTTACACTCACAACAAAAAAGTTGATTGAAGGCACATCAATAATAAGGTTGACTAGCGATCTTCCCCACGTATAAGGGCATATAGGAGAGAAGAAAATAAGATGATAAGTGCAGACTGTTATTGACCTGGTGAAGCACTAAATGATAAAACACTTACAAGATTGCAGAGGTGTATAGGCATATCATATCACAGGTTGCCAAGGAGTTCAGATGAAGTCCGCCAGAACATTCAAATGTAAATAAGCAAGGAATCCTTGTAGCTTGAAATATTTATTAAATACCACAAATAAAACAGAAAATAAAAACAAAATACTCTCCTACATAAAGTCCCAACCCTACGCGTTTCATCTGACAATTCCGACTTCCTCAGGGGTAAAATAAAGATCGGTCTCCTGTGTAGAATCTCTTTTCCGCCCAGCTCGGTATTTAAATCCATTAAGCCCCTCCTCCGGATGCCATCAGCTCATCCGTATAGGGGGAATACAGCTGATGCTTATTTTCTTCAGTGTGTATTCCAAGCCTCGTTTCTGACTGCATTAGCGGTCATGTGAGCGTTCCACTGAGTCTATCTGCGTTCCAAAGGGAGACCGGAAGGGAAAGCTTGCGTTTCAACAAAAGAGCATTCCAAATTGGGTACTAAGCTTGTCAACTCAAAAGGATCACAAAGTATCCATCGTGCCATACATAGATAAAAAATAAAGAAAGATAGAAATAATATGTATCATGATCTTAATTGTCATAAAGTATACACTTAGTTACAAATGATTGAATAAAAATAAAATAAGATAAGAAGATAAAAAGAAATAGAAAAACAAATAAGAAAAAAATATATATATGAAAAAAATATAAAAAAATAATAATGATAATGAAAAACATATAATTAAATGAAAAACGAATAAAGCGTATAGATTCTTTTAAGTAATTCTATACATATTCTTATCAATAACAGTAAAAGAAAAATACAAACTTAATCATACAAATAATAATACAAATAATACAAAAAAGCAATAAAAAACATTAAGAATAAATAATCTTCTCAAAATAGTTTAATCTATATACATAACAGGATTTGTAATAAATGTCAAATGCGAAAAAGGACATTACTAGAAGTTCAAAAAAGATTCTGGCATACTCGAATAAAAATCTTACTATTCCTAAGGGAAAAAAAATTAGATAATAATCTAGGGGCTAAAAATGAAAGTTTAAATTCAAATACCAAATTACAAAATATCGTTTAGACTCCGAGTCTATAAACCATATTGAAGTGGAATTGCGAAAGAGCTCAAATAAAAAAGGAACTCAGTTTAAAAAGCAAACGAGATCAAAATCTATGTTCATACCTCTTGGTTGTAGAGTCTTTAACCTATGAATCCAAAAACCATCCCTCTTTGTTAATTTGAGCATCACATCGCCTCCTCTTAAAACTTATTGTACCTGTTCAATTGCTATATAATTAAGATTGTTCTCGAAAGAGGGACAAGAATTGCAGTGTATGGGAACAGAATGTGTGGTGACCTTTTTCTTCACATTATTATAGTGTTCAAGACATCTTACTTTAGCTTTTCTCCCGGTCCCTCCCACATATTGTGCCCCACACCCACAAGTGATGAGATACACAACATGCGTTGAAGAGCACAAGATATAGCCATTAATTTGAAAAACTTCAGAGGTCTGAGTACTCTTAAATTCTTTAAAAGCCCTATACGTATATCTGCATGCTTTGCAATTGCCACATGTGTGGAAACCAAGATTACCTTTTTTCTTTCTTCCTTCATTTAAGAAGGTGCTAGGAGCTAAAATATTTTTAAAATTATTTCCTTTTTTAAAAATAGTGTTTGGATACCTAGGGATTTGGGTCTTCAATATATCATCTTCCAAAAGAAGTGGCCAATGTTTTTTGATAACACGTTGTATATCAAAAGCTTTGGAGTTATACTGGGTATTAAATGCATAGTCAAACTTTGAATCTCCTTTTATATTTTTATGATTCTGAAGAAAGACATCGCTATCTATCTTTCCTATTTGTTCTATTTCTTTATTTAAAAAATCCTCAGAATAACCCTTCTCTACAAATCTTCTTTTCAAAATATTAGTCTGCTCAAAAAACATATTCTTATCAGTGCAGTTCCTCCGAATCAGCGTGAACTGACTTCTTGGGACACTAGATAGCCATTTCGGATGGTGCCCGCTATTCGTGTTAATATAGCTATTTGTGTCAGTATCTTTAAAAAATAGTCTTAGTTTTAATTTCCAAATTCTCAATATAGAGACTAAGATCCAAGAAATCTATTTTGTCTTTCCCAAAATTGGGTGTAAAGTTGAGAGATAAATTGTTGTTATTAATAAAAACAATAGAATCTTCCAATTCTTTTTGAGTACCCTGCCAGATAATTAAAATATCATCAATGTACCTCTTCCAGAACACCAAGCTCACACCAAAAGGATTGTTACACCATATTCTTGATCTTTCCAAATTATCCATAAAAATATTGGCGTAACTTGGTGCGAACTTGGTGCCCATGGTTGTACCCTTGATCTGCAGAGAAAAAATCGTTATTAAAAACAAAAAAATTATGAGTTAAGATAAATTCAATTGATGACACTAAAAAATCTTTAAAATCTATCTCTTCATCATTTTCTAAATCGACCCTAACCGCTTCTACCCCTCTAGAGTGTTCAATGATAGTGTACAAGGAGGCCACATCTAGAGTGACCCACATAAAATTATCTTTCCATACTATTTGTTTCAAATCTTGTATAAGTTGTTTTGAATCCTTTAAATAAGAGTTAGCCTTTTGGGCATATTTTTGAAGAAAAAAAAGTCTATAAATTCTGAAAGTTTAGAAGTAATGGAATCTATCCCACTAATAATAGGTCTCCCGGGTGTTTTTTCCTTACATTTATGAATCTTCGGTAAAAAGTAAAAAGTGGGTATTCTTGGGGATTCCACAAATAAAAATTTAAAAACATTATCATCTATAATGTTCTCCTCTCTAGCTTGTTCCAAAAAACGCCCAAGTTCTCTGTTGCACGTAACATTGGGATTGATCAACAATTTTTGATAGGTTAGTAGGTCATTCAAAAGCCTATAAGATTAATTCAGGTGATATTCCGTAGACATCACCACTACCACTCCCCCCTTATTAGCATTTTTAATTATTAGATCTTTCCTCTCCTTTAGGTTTTTTAAAGTTAAAGCTTCTAATTTTGTAAGGTTATCCCATTTTTTATTCTGTTTCTTACATAAAATTTCAAAATCTTTATTAAGCATTTTTTGAAAAGCTTCTATCTGGGAACCTTTATCATAAGGGAGAAAGGTTGACTTGGGCTTAAATCTCGACATAGGGTCTCTGTTTATTTGTGATGGAACAACCGGGGGTCCTTCCAAATCCTTTTTTATAAAGAATCTCTTAAGGTATAATTTCCTTATATATTTTTGTGTATCTATATAGAGCTGGAAAGAATTAGGGGGTTCGATGGGGGCAAATTTAAGGCCCTTCTGTAACAATAAAATTTCTTGTTTGGTAAGGGGGCAATTAGATGTATTGAAAATACCTAAGGACTCGATATTCTTGATTCCATCGTCCCGCTTATTCTCCTCCTCTTTCCTGGAGTACTGGGGCTTTCCAATGGGGAAAACCTGTTTTTCAAATTGAGCATTTGTTTAATTTCCTATATGTATTTACGTCACTTAGTCATCTCAGGGATTCCTCAGTGTATTTGGCAGTTTCCATTACTACTATTCCACCACCCTTATCAGTGGGCTTAATAACCACTGTATTATCTTTTTTGAATTCTTTTAGTGCTTTTATTTCATCACTTCCCAAATTTAGTTCATATTTATTGGGTTTTCTTATTTTTTGCATGTCTCTTATTACCATTTTTTCAAATGCAACCATATTTTCTGACACTAGATAGTTTGGAAAAAATGAAGAAGCTTCCTTTAAATCTGTGTGAATGATTTCGCTATATTCAACATTAGGCTCTACTCTAGTGATAGGGGACTTGGAAAATAAATTCTCTCTATCTGTCCCTTTAAGAAACTATTCCTTTTACTCTTTTAAACTTTTAAATACTAAATTTTTAATTATAACTACTGGAAACTAATTACACACATAGGGGAGTTATTTCATCCCTAGTATAAAAACTGGAAATGAATATTGAGCATGAAATATACGCACTTTCTGCACATTAAATATTAATGTTATTAAGAATGTTAACAATTTAAGTAATGTAAGAAATTTATTTTATATCAATCTTATATTAATTCCTTATAATGTTTACAGAAATTGTAACAAAAACAAATTTTATTAATTTTTATTGACCATATTATTTTAATTTTTAATTAACAATGATCAACAAGATCAATATATAATGAATAGGGAAAAAAAATATTCTGTAGTATATGTATTCATTATGGACATTGTTAAGAATAATTATGAAACTGTATGGGAAGATACTAATATGTACCTATGTGTGTTTTTCTTTTTATCCTCCTTTTTTATTTTCTACTATGTGCTGAGCACAATCATTCTTGCAAGAAAAACAGTGAAATATGTATGTATTTCACCTAGGATTGTAGGGGTCGGCAAACTGACCTATTCCGGATTGGAGGACGGGATGGGAGGACCGCCCACTGGATGAAGAAACCGGCATATTTAAAAAGCAGCAAGACGACAACGAGAATACCGATTGAAAAAGCCCACATAGTGTGGGTGAAACGCGTCTCGGGACTGGAGCTAATTATTGGGACTTTTTTTACTTTATATAGAAGCAACTGGATACTTTTATTTTGATTTTATGCTTTTGATTTTATATTTAAAGTTGCAATAAATTTGTGTGTTTTAAACAAAGTCCCAACAGCTTTCAATTTCCAATCGCTGCTAAAGAAGGGCAGGTGCCCACTCTAGAGGCACCAGGTCTACCATTCAGAGCCAGGTTTTCATTGGCTCAGGAAAAGGTGAGCACAACCATAACCACTGTGTTTTTCATTTGGGTTGAAACTCAGTACACTAGGAAGTCTCCCTTTCTCTTTCTTTTGAGGAAATCCATTCCAGGCAAAAGGGTGCAGTGTCTCCATACGACACTACTGTGCAAGTGATTTGAGCCTATTTGTTTGACTATTTAAATAATCACCAAAATACACCATCACTTGTGGATTTACACTATATTGTGTTTTATTTTCTTGTTTCCTTTACATGTACTGATATACATCTGAGATTTAACCCTATTTTAGGGTAAGTGTATACCTTTAGCGCTCCATTCACTTGATTAGTAGAGTTTGGATGTCACATCCAGATTGTGCTAAGCTCACTTTGGTTCAATGCCCTGAGCTATTGCTGCGCTTACACTTACTTTTGCACAGCCTTTACCACGCTTTTCAAAGTAATCGCAAAGTAGTCCTGCATGTTAACAGTAACCTATACGGCATGTACTAGCCTAGCATGTTTAACCCTCTCAAAAACAAAAAGAGGTCAATTTCTTAGGAGTATATATTAATGTATGTCACAGGTGTATTCGTGAAATGTCAACTAATGATATACCTCCATATGTCTTATTTTTGTACGGATTACTATATGCCTCAATTACAAAAAGAGATTGACGAATAATCAATGTCTACAGCAAACTTAGCCATTAGTAAGTTACATACTTACATTTTCTTGTAATATAAATGCACATTTCACTGCAGCAACATACCGTATATAATCGAGTATAAGCCGACCCGAATATAAGCCGAGGCCCTAAATTTACCACAAAAAACTGGGAAAACGTATTTACTCGAGTATGAGGCAAGGGGGGGAAATGCAGCAGCTACTGGTAAATTTCTAAATAAAATTAGATCTCAATAAAATTACATTAATTGAATATTTATTTACAGTGTGTGTATGGAATGAATGCAGAGTGTGTGTGTGTGTATATAATGAATGCAGTGTGTGTTTGTGTGTTGTGTGTATATAATGAATGCAGTGTGTATATAATGCAGTGTGTGTTTGTGTGAATGCAGTGTGTGTGTTTGTGCGGTGTGTGTAAACTGGGTGAGGGGAGGGCATTTTTATTTTAATTGTTTTATTTTATTATATTATTTTATTATATTATTATTATTTTAATATTATATTATTTTAATAATATTATTTTATTATTATTATTTTAATATTTGCATTATTTTTTTTTAAATGTTTTTTTGTCCCCCCTCCCTGGCCAGGCAACAAGCAGGGAGGGGGAACAAAAAAACATGTAAAAAAAAATAATGCAAATATTAAAATAATAATAACATAATAAAATAATATTATTAAAATAAAATAATAATATTGAATCCCTGGTGGTCCAGTGGCATTGGCTGTTCAGTAGGGGGGCTGGCAGTGAGCTGTTACTTACCTTCCTGCAGCTCCTGTCAGCTGCCTTCTCCTCCATGCAGCTCCCCTGTCAGCTCCGTTCTGCTCACAGTGTAAGTCTCGCACTGTAAATAAATATTCAATTAATGTAATTTTATTGAGATCTAATTTTATTTAGAAATTTACCAGTAGCTGCTGCATTAAGTAACAGCTCGCTGTCAGCCCCCAACAGGACCGCCGGGCTTGTAATGAGCCCGGCGGTCCTGGTCTTTGTTATGGCAATGTAAGTTACCATAATACAGACCTTGACTCAAGTATAAGCCAAGTGGGGGTTTTTCAGCACAAAAAAATGTGCTGAAAAACTCGGCTTATACTCGAGTATATACGGTAACTATGCTTGTCTAGCTCATCCTAGCTGACTAATTAGCGACTCTGATACATATTCAGCATGTTATTCCAGGCATTCTTTAACCTTGTACACACATGTACCCAAAAGGACACCATGTAGCTCAACTGTGCAGTTCAGCATACCAAGCTAGGCTACCGATTTAACCATGTTTTCTCATCGTATTTCTTCCATGATATTAAATATTATGTCTAACTTTTACCTCGTATTTACCCGACTAATATAAGTAAAAATTTTAGACATATC